GGGCATCCGAGGAGAGGGTGGGGGCGCTGCTGGCCTCTGGCTCCACAGACTAGAGCAGGAAAGGGTGAAATGGCGGGGGGGGGGGGGGGGGGGACCCAGCGGGGAGAATAGGAAGCTGTGACTTCCTCTGCCCTTTCCCTCCCAGCTCTTAGCCTCAAGGTCACTTGCTGCAGTGAATTCTGACCTGTATTTGAGTTGGCACGCTTCCACGGGCATGGTGACAATAGATAGCTGTGCGATGCCCGGCCCCTTTCTGCGATGGACACCCCAAACTTTAGATAATGATCATTCATGCAAATAGCAACATAAAAAGTGCTTTTTTCACATGTTTTATTTATTTTTTTAAAGATTTTATTAATTTATTTGAGAGAAAGAGAGCACAAGTGGGGTGGGGCACGGGGGGGCGCAGGGCAGAGGCAGAGGGAGAAGCAGAGTCCCCTCTGAGCAGGGAGCCCAAAGCTGGGCTCAAACCCAGGATCCCGGGATCATGACCTGAGCCAAAGGCAGATGCTTAACAACTGAACCACCCAGGCGCCCCTCACATGTTTTATCTCATTTAATCACACCAATCCTGTGGAGCAGAGACTTTTGTCTGAAATTTTTAACAAGAAAGCCAAGGTTCGGAGGAGTAATTTACCAAAGCCACACATTTAGTGAGGAGCAGACCTGGAACTCCAGAATCTCTGCTCTCTCTTGGACATCCGTCTGCATTCCATGCCTCCGTGTCCCCCAACCCCTGCCCCCAGGCCCCGAGGGAGCACTTTCTGCAGAGAAGGGGGCCTCTGCGTGCAGTCAGGAAAAGAGGGGGCTCCAGTTTGGCTTCATCGCTCAGATGGACGGGGTACCTCTGGCCTTCTCCCTGTGTGGAGGCTTGGGGCTGCCCCCCACAGTGCAGAATTCCCCCTCGCCCCCTCCAGCTCTGCCTGCTAGAGCCCTTCCTGCGCACGGGGGAGCACAGACCCGCGCTGCTGTCACCCCAGCCCCGCAGGAGGCGCCCGGGCACCAGCTCTCACGCCTGGTGGCGTCCATGCCCCGCTGCCCGCGGTCTAGGGCAATGCCTGGGAGGCGGTGTGCGGAGTGCGAGCAACGGCCATGCCGGCCCGTCCGTCCCTAGCCCTGACGGTGGCGGGCGCCCTGGCCAGCGGGCTTGTGGGGGCGGCCGGCTTGCTGGAAAACCTGGCCGTGCTCTGGCTGCTGGGCACCTGTGCTCCGGGAGCGCCTGGCTCGGGCAGACAGAGGGCCTGACCCTCACTGTCCCCTTCTGGGCCGCTGCGTCCACGCGGGACTTCCACTGGCTCTTTGGAGGTGCCCTCCACGAGGTGGTGCTGAGGGCCAGCATCTTCCACGTCGACGCCGGCATCTTCCTCACTCCCGCTGAGTGTTGCCGGATACCGGTGGTGGCCGTGGCCGTGGGACCAGACAGCCACCTCTCTTCCAGGCCTGTGTGGCCACCCCGGAAGTGTGGGCGGGTGGGGGCTGTCTTTGGGGCCCAGGGAGAGGTGTGGGGCATGCGTCTGTGTCCGCTGCGCTTTCCCCGGCAGGTGCCAACTGCAGACGACGGCACTGGCCTTCACGGCGCCCTGGGCGCCATCACGCCACCTGCTGCTGGCCTTCGTGGCCCGCTCTGTCTGTACCCAGAGGCCTCCTCCTCCCTCCGCAGCTCCCCCAACCAGGTGGTCACTGGCTGGAGCGTCCTGGTGACCTTTGACCGGATGCCCTGGGATAGCATCTTTCTCCACCACCCATAGCTTCATCTCCCCTGTCACCACCTGCCCGGGGCACGGCAAGAGCTGCCTCAGCCCCGTGCTGTCCTGTCTCCTGAGGCAGGAGCCTGAGGGACCCCGGCAGACACCTTCAAGAATCAGCGAGCAAGGCTGTGGAACTGGTGGCCCCGAGGGACAGAGGCAGGCGGCGGGTGGAGAGCGCACTCCCGCTCTGGCAGAGGGGCCCTCGGACCACGGCCACCGGCTGGGACAAACGGACACCTGGGTGAAGGGTGCTGAACACCTTCCTCTCTTCCTGGGCTCCATCGGGGCGGAATCATTCACCGCGGGGAGAGCCAGCCTGGGCCGCTGCACCCTCAGGGAGGCTGGTCTTTGATCCCCTGCGGGCGTGGTGGGATGCGGCTGGAGGGTCACCTGGGGGCTGAGTATGACAGAGCTCAGGTCTTCGTGCGTGGGGAGGAATGGGTGGCAGTAGCGGAAAGGCAGAGGATGGAGAATAAGCCTCTGCATCATCACAGCCGTCTTGACCTGTCACGCTTCCACCTCTGGTTCAGTGTGAGCAAAAGCATTCTTTGCCCCATTTCTGCCTCCTGGGAGAACTCCCCAAGGGTTCTAGACTAATGGGTCGGAGGTCAGCGCCTCTTGCCCTCCGTCTGTCCTCCCACACACCCCTACCCGCACTTAAACAGGTGTTCCTTGTTCTCTGGTGCCAGAGCCAAACACCCCCCCACCCCCCCACCGGCCATCTCTGCCTTATAGCATCTCAGTGGTGCCCATGGAAACCTGGTGCCTGCAGACCTCAGCTGAGAAGGCTGGAGCCCCCTGCAGGGAGAGGCCCCCTGTGAGGCGCTGCTGGACCCCTGGCATCGGCCCAGCCCCAAGTGTAAAAACCGCCTATTCTTTAACCAGGATTTGCAGGGAGAAGTGGAGAGAAGTCAAGGATGTGGGTGGGGCGTAGGGAGGCGAGAGGTGGGGAAGGGGTAGGGAGAAGAGGGGCCTCAGGTGTGTCCAGAGAAGTGGGAACCGGAGTGGGAGACTGGTGCGGGGGTCCCTCCCTGTCCCACGCGCCGCGCAGATCAGGAGCACCTGATTCACATCCTAGCTCCAACACGAACCAGCGGGGAGACCTCGGTAAGTTACTTCTACCGGTTTTCTCATCTGTACAATGGGGTGTTGACGATTCAGCGGTGCCTGAAGTAGTGTGTTGGCTATTGCTCTTAACACTTCATGGAAAATGGAATCCGACAGAAGGAAGAGGAGGAAAAGAAAGGGAAGGAAAAGGGGGCAGCTGGGAGATGGGGACCGGGAGCCAGAGAGGTCTCATCTGGGATGATGTTCACATACTCTGGAGGGAAATGAAAGTTGTAGGTGAAGACCTGGGTGAGGGATTGGCCCCTCCAGTTCCTTCTGAGGAGCGTTCTCCAGGGCAGCGGGTCTGCCTTTGGCTTCCATATCCATGGAGACCCAGTTAGAAGGGGGGTCAGCCCCTGGAAAGGAGGGAGGTGGCAGAAGCTAGACACGGTGGAGCTCCCACTTCCGTTGCCCCCATCACCACCAAGCCAACCACTCTGGCCTCTCAAGGGCCCAGAGCAAGGCTGGGGGCGCGCCCTTGGCAGGCCCCCTCTGCACTAGCTCCATCCAGCTGCAGAGCAGGAGACTCCCAACAGCCACCCGATTCACAACACATTAAGCAATGGTAACGAGACCTAATGAGCTTCTTGATGTTTAATTTCCTCCCTTTCGTGTTTAAACTGGTTCTAAAACTCCAGGTCTGTTCCTAGTCAATTCAGGATGGAAAATCCTCCCCATCTAAGTACCCCTCTCTCACCACCCCCTGCAACTCCTCTGAGGGCTCCCCTGGGGGCATCTCTGCTCACGGGGCCTGGAGGTAAATACTGACGGAGTTTCAACAGGTCCAAGTCCTAGAGGAGTGACTGTGTGCACACCTACCATCCGATGGGGAGGGGTGGGGGGGGCAGGGGAGGTGTGGCAGAGGACTGGGCAGGCGGCTGGGCACTGCTTGGAGGGGAAGGCAAGCACTGCAGTGAAGCTGGGCCCTGGCTCCCTGCAGCAAGCAGCCAGAGAGCTTTGAAACCGCAGTGGGAAGGATCGAGGCTAAGACTGGGTTTCTGAAGAGCTTAGCAAGGGCACCAGGACCAGAAGGGGCAAAACTGCAAGAGACTTATGTCCAGAAATAGCCACGTCAGAGAAAGGTGGGCAGCGTGTCTCAGGATCGAGGAGTGGCAGAGGGACAGCGCTGCTGGGGATACACCAGTGCTGTCCCCGTGAGCTGTGGGCTTCTCCACACCCGCCCTGGGCTCTGTGTCTCCAGGTTCCCGCGTCTCTCCTGACCAGCATCCCTCACCAGATCTGTGACCGTGTTGGAGGAGCCTGCATTCCCCTTTCTTGGTCTGAGGGCTCGTATCACCCACCCACACGGTGGTCCTCTCTCCACTCCACCCTGGAGGGGATCCCAGCTTCCAGCTGACGCAGCACACAGCTGCTGAGCCACATATCCGTGAGCTGGACGCTTGGCGCTCCGGAGGGAAGTGGAGGCCGGGCCTGCCTGGCTTGGCTACCCTGGCCGGGCAGCCTTCCCGTTCCATACCCGCCCACCACACAGACCCGGTAATGGATGAGAAAGCACCTGCTGAAGGCCAGATGCCGTGGGCGGGTACAGGAGGGAGGTGCGGGCGGCCCCCAAGCCCGCTCCCCAGCTGATTTCAGCTCCTCTCCTCCGAGGAGGTGTGTGCGTGTGCCAGCGTGTGTGCGCGTGTGGACCGCGTGGCCGCCCTCCCTCTTCCCCTCCCCCAGCAGCAGGGGAGTAGTAACCAGAAACAGGAAGTGAAATGAAGCAAAACCAAGAACTGAAACCGACCTAATCTCTCACCCACAGCCCCTTCAAGAGGTTGCCCCAGGGCTCTGACACTAAAGACCGAGGGCAGAGTGGGGTCTGAATCTGAAAATGAAGGACTCTGGGGAGAGGCCAGCAGGAACTGGGCCCGCAGGGGAAGGGAGGGGGCCACCGCTGACGCCATTTCTGAGCAGGGCATGCCTCTGAGGCCGAGACCAGTTTTCTAGTTCTGGAATCCCCAGCAGCCCCTGGAACCTAAGTGCCCTTCATTTTGATCCCTGGATCTGTGGATGTCAGCACCAACAACAAGGGCTCAAGGCACTTTCTTCTGGGAGTGGCCTGTGTTGGGGGAGGCGGCCTGCTCCTCCCTTGGGGGCCACCCGTCCAGCCCGTAGGGCAGGCAGACATCGAGAGACAGCACGTCGTGGGGGTCCAGGTCTTTAATTTTCCCTGCTTTATCTCTTCTTCTTTTTTTTCTTTTTAAGCAATCAAATGGGCAGAAAATGGCTGGGGCTGGTGGGCACTGGGGGTCCACTGGAAAATCCCCCAAATTCACGCTGAGGTTTCAGTCATGGTTGCTGAGGTGGGGATGAGGTCAGGGTTCACAGAGATTTCCCAACTCACCCTACAACATGTTTTCCAAACGGCTGGAGAAGAGGTCAGAGTAGGTCCCCCGTTACTGCAGATGAGGGGACGCCGTCCCCCCACCCCTCAAGCTCTTCCGATAAGCGGAAATAGAAGGCTGTGATTTCTAATTGCCTACAATCATCTCTTAAAAATACAAAACACGTGCAGCTGGCTTTGGTACAAAAAAGAAAACAACAAAAAACATTCTGGTCCCGTGGGCTTTCCCCTCACCCCCCAACAGAGCCATTGTGGCCTCTCGACCTCTACTCCATCGCCTCCGACCCCGAGGTGGGGGGGGTCTCCAGGGAGGATGGAGAGAAGGGAGAACAGCAGTTAGCGGGGGAGGGGAGGGGGCATGGCCCCGCCCACAGCCCTTCTGGAAGGGTCTGGTGGCGCGGCAGCCTCTCCTCAAAGATGGTGTTGCTGGGGAGGGGTGTCGGGGCTAGAACCCAGCAGCCGCGGGGTTACGCCTGAATAAACCCCAGTAGTGTTACAGGACAAGGCCCCCGATCCCTATGGCTTGGTTCCCGTGTCCCTGGTCCTCTAAATCTCCCCACTCCCTGTGTAACTAATAAACAATAAATAAATAAATTTTCCTAAAGTAGAGGGAAGAAGGCATGAAAACGTGGCATCTGTGGTGTAGCTCCTGGATGCCAGCAGGGGGCCCTGTGGCCCAAGACCCCCCCCAGCTTCCTGGGGGCCCCAGGTGTCCAAGGAGCCCAAGAGCTGGCAGGGGGTCAGCAGTTCTTTCGAGTGTTCCCTCGCCATTGGCAGGTTGGAGTCCCCAAAGTTTTGCCTCCCTCGCTGTGTTCTTCCTGGGGGCACCGGACGGGGGTGGGGCCCCCTTAGCTCTCTGAAGCCACAGGCTCCCCGTCGCGACTCTCGATCTCTTCCGGGATGTCCTGCATTCGGGTGAAGTCTGAAGGGGGATGGGCAGAGTTAGCGGGAGAGCACCGGCTCCCTCGAGCAGCTGCACCCCTGCACTAAACAGGGTTAGTTAGTGCCCCACCCAGGCCCAAGCTGTGAGGCGGCGGGTGAGCCGGAACCTCTGTCTGCAGAGTAAGTCATGTGCCCACACCTGCCTACTCTGTATCCTTCCTGAAGACAGGAAGATACACTGCAGCTAAGAACATACAAAATAGTTTAAGATTATTACATAAAGTCACACTAGCTTTTGGTTATTTTGTATTTCTTGAATCTACTATAAGAACTTTGACAGTCTTAGAAATTTCTTTTCCTTAGAAATCTAAGTTTAGGGGCGCCTGGGTGGCTCAGCTGGTGAAGCGTCTGCCTTCGGCTCGGGTCACGATCCCAGACTCCAGGGATCGAGCCCCCGCATCCGGCCCCCTGCTCCGCGGGGAGTCTGCTTCTCCCTCTCCCTCTGCCGCTCCCCCTGCTTGTGCTCGCTCGCTCGCTCTCTCTGACAAATAAAATAAAATCTTAAAAAAAAAAAAAAAACCGACGTCTACTTGAAAAGGTTGGCATCACAGACTTACAGGGGCGGCTCCCACCTTCTTTGCTTCCCGGAGCGCTCGGGGCTGCCCGCCCGGCATCGGAAAAGGCAGCAAGTGAGTCCTGTGTGCCCCTCGCGAGACTTACAGAGTACGGTAGCCCTCGGCGGCGACTGCGGCCCCCTAAGTGTCCCCCTGCGCCAGCACACACAGCCAAGGGCGGCAGCCCACGTGCACCGGCGCCTCACCTCGCGGACTGTGGGGCGGGGACAGGCGGCTGCCCCCTTCCTCCTCGCTGCCCGTGTCGGCGTCGCTGCTGTCCTGCAGCCGCTCCTCGGGGCTGCCCAGCTCCTGTCTCTCTCGGTCCTCAAAGGGTCGATGGACAGAGCGAATGGTCACAGACAAATCCAGGCGGTCGTGGCCTCGGCTGGGCTGTGACAGGCCGGCAGGAAAGGCAGCAGGCCAGGGAGTGAGCTCAGCCGGGCGCACCACCGCCGGCGCTCTGCGCCCCGCCACCTCGCCCCGCTCTCCAGCCGCAGCCTAGTTGGGGCGCAAATCCCCTACGCCGCCGCCGCCGCTCGGCTCGGCGCGTCCCGCGGGCCCTCGCGCCCTCCCAGCTCAGCGCCCCCGAGCTTCCTTACCTGCGGGGGCGTGAAGCTCAGGTACAGGGCGTCGCCCGCAGGCAGGCTGCGGCGCCGCGGGTCCAGGGGCCTGCGGGCCCAGGGGGCCTCCGCCGGGGGCGGCTCGCTCTGGCCCAGGGCGGCCAGCTGCCTGCGGGCCTCTTCGGCCTCCCGCTCCAGCCGGGCGCGGGCCTGCTCGCTCTCGCGGAGCCGGGCCTCCAGGCTGCCGGCCTCTGTGGCGCGCTCCTCGCCCAACCGCCGGCAGCGCCGCAACTCCTCCTGCAGCAGAGCGTGTTGCCGCTGCAGGAGCGCCAGCTCGGTGGCCTGCTTGTCCGGCGCCGCGGGGGCGGGTCCGGCTCGGCCGGCCTCTCCGTCCCGAGAGTTGGCGCGGGCCAGCTTCTCCCGCCGCTCGGGGCCGTCGGGGAACCGCGCTTCCATCAGCGTGTCCTGCTGCGCCACAGCCGCCTGGGGGCGTAAGGGGCACCCGCGGGTGTATCAGAACCCCGGCTCCCGGGGGGCGGGGGGGGCCTGGTTAGGGCTCCCGGAGAGCTCCACCCCGGAAAGGCCCTGAAGGCGCGTGAACAGGCAGCCCCGCTCTCTCCTCCCCTGCCCATTCTAGCGCTGGCCCCGCTGACCTGGAGGCCGTGCAGAAGTCCATAGAGATTGACCAATCGCTGTAACGCTTCCTGAGGACAGAGGAGAGGGTGGGGACGGGGCCCAAGCTTCAGGATGGGAGAGCTGCCCAGAAGGTGACCAAATGTGGGTTTGGGGACAGCAAGCCTCCAGACACTCTCAGATGTCGACTCTCCCCAACACCACCCCACACCGGGGCCCGATTTCTCAGCCACAACACGCTCCGTTTCAGTCGGCTACACCAGTGGGTTCCCACCTCACCTCCTGGGGGGCTCTCAGCTGATTTCCATTCCGGTCCTGCAGAGAGAGGCAAGGATGGGGGATTTGCAGGCGCCGGTCCCCCACAGCTCTGTGTCAGGGGTCCACGGGCCAGCTGCCCCTTCCCGCCCTCTCACGAGCCCTGGTACCTCTTGCAGACCCACCTTCTGGCTGGAGTCTGAGTCGGTTCGGCAGAGCTCAATCGAGCCATTGAAGGTTCTGGGCTCACCATCTGTGGAGAAGGGGAAGGACAGGCTGAGCTCAGGTCCTCAGGGCCTGGCCCCTCCCTCCCACCCACCACCGTGGCCCCAGCCCAGGCACTCACTGGCAGTGACCCCAGGACTCGTGCTACCGCCGCCATCCGGGTCCACGGGCAAGGCTGGTTCCCGGGGTGTCAGGAGCAGTTCTACTCCAGGCCCCACCAGGAGGTCTTTCAGACCCTCCACTACAGGGAAGGGGGGGGGTAAGCCCAGGAGCCACAAGGAACCCTGCAGGGAACGGCAGGGCGCCTTCCACCCAAGGCACGGCGTAACAGTCAGCCGCCCAGGGGCCCTCACTCATACCACCCCCCACAGGGCAGAGGTCACTGAAGGGCGCCGAAGGGGCAGCACAAACGTATGCAGGACAAGGTGTCAAACAGTAGCAAGGACTGTGCCTCCCCCGCCCCACCCTGGCCTTCCCCACACCTGGTGCCCCAGGAAGTTTATGGACACTGGGGTTGTGTGTGCCCACGTGTAGTCACGTGTCCCTATTCTGTGAGGCCGAGTGGATGGCCCTGGACTCCTCCCTCAGGGCTCCCTCACCCTCACGGATGGCATCCTGCAGCAGCCGCTCTCCACGGGGGCACTCCAGGGACTCGGAGCGGAAAAGGCCCCTGGGTAAGGCAGGCAGGGTCAACCCACCACCGTCTTCCTCCACCTGGAAATGGGTCATCTCGGCGAACAGCCCGACCTTCTCCTGCAGCAGCTCAACCAGGGCCTGGTCTTTCTGTTGCAGCTCCACTGTGGATACGGAACAGGTGAGCACACGGTGGGGGTGGGGGGGAGGGCGGTGTTATGGGGGGAGGGGGCGCAGCCAGAGAGCCGTGCTGGAAGGGCGGCCCAAGGGCCTGGGGGCCACGGCTGGGCTGAGTGTAGTACTTAATTCTGGATTTTTGGCATTTATGAAAAAGAAAACACTTTTTTTTTGGAAAAGTAATATATGAACTTTCTTTTTTTTAAAGTAGGCTCCGTGCCCAACATGGGGCTCAAACGCACGACCCCAAGATCAAGAGTCACAGGCTCTACTCACGGAGCCAGCCAGGTGCCCTGGACTTTTATTGTAAAAGCAAAACTAACATGATCTGTGGCCAGAACTGCAGATGCCCACAACTTTCATTCTCCCATCTTCCTTTAATTGGAGAGTCCATACAAATTTCATGTGGGCACGTAGCTGCCCAATTAAACCTGACCTGCAGCTAGACATTGGCATGGGACTAAACTGTGGTCAACGGACATGAGTGTCTCTCCGGATTGGCCCTTAAAAGAAAAGGGTATAGAGGCACCTGGCTGGCTCAGTGAGTGGAGCGTGTGACTCTTGATCTTGGGGTTGTGAGTTTGAGCCCCACCTTGGGTGTACAGACTACTCAAAAATAAAATCTTAAGGGGCACCTTGCGGGCTTAGTCAATAAAGCATGCGACTCTTGATCCCAGGGTCATGAGTTCAAGCCCCACATATAATATGTTTTATATTTATAAATATAAAATATACATTATATATATATAAATAAAATAAAATACAATCTTAAAAAAAGGGTATAAACTCTCCCTGTTCCCTTCCATCTCCCCGCTAGCTGGGATGCAGATGTGACAGCAGGAGCTACAGTAGCCACTTTGGACAGGGAGGTGGGGAATCTCTATGATGAAGATGGCAGAGGTGTACTGACTACCCTGTACTTCCCACTTGTGGACTATAGAGAAACGATCTTCTACCTTAAGAAACTGATTTTTGTTGGTCTTTTTGTATAGCAGTTAGTTCATACTCTAATAAAAGTAAAAAAAGTAGATTAATGTCTCAACCCTGGTCTTCCCAGCTCTCCTTCTGGAGACACTACACACACACACACACCTACCACATGTGATACGTACCCTATCCCCGTTATTTTTACACCAGAGGTAGCATACACCCTATGTTGTGTTAAACCTTGCTCTTTTTACTTCACACTACATTCTCGTTATGGATCTGCATCAGCCCTCCCCAGCATTGGCACATTTCAACCAGTTCCATCGTATTCCATCATGGGGATGTATTATAAATTATTTAACAAGCTCTGTGGGTGGACTCACTCTTGATTCGGCGCAGGTAAGCCTCGTGCTCTGTCTCAATCAGGGGGAAGTCCTCTCTGGATGGGCATCTAGAGGGGTAACAGGTTGCGTGGGGTTGAGAGATCAGGAATCAGCCTCCTTCCTGAACATGCTTGGTGCCTCCCTGTAAGACTCACCAGCCCCAAGCCCTGGCCTCACTCACTCCCGACCCCCTGCTTTCCTTCACACCCATCATCCGAATTTCCCGGCGCGTGTGCCTCTCCACAGGCCACCTGTGGGGGTTGCACCGCAAGGACGGGTACTACAGCCTTGGCGCGAAGCAAACTGGGCCTAAATCCAGGCCCCACTATTTACCCGATGGTAGCCTCTATTTCTCATCTGAAAAATGGGTATGGTATCTTTCTTCTTCACTGGCTGTTTTTTGTCAGAGTTAAATGAAAAAAACACAACAATGCTTTGAACACGGCAGAAGCTTGATACATCGAATACAGAGTATTAATTATAATTTTCACAATGACAGACATTAATACTGTTAACAGAGAGGCCCCCATGGATCTACTGCCAATAGGACAGGTATTTGGCATGGTTTTCCTAGAACAGGCAAGGTCATACTTGGGCATGCATTTCTGATAAATCTGTTCAAAAGTCTAAACTGCAGAAGTTAAAAAAAAAGTTTACATGTTACAAAGTGGAGAAAATCCATTTCTAAAAGCTAAAAAAAATTGACAAATATCCTGAGTTTCTTTTTTTGGCATAATCTTCAAGAATCCGTTTTGAACGCTCTACACGCATTTTCCTTTTTTCATCAAAAGAGACACACAGTCGAGGGCCTCAAATCCCACATACGTCCCCCAGAAGCTCGAGGTCGGCTGCCTTAGCATATGGAACGGTTTCCTTCTTGCCTCGACCGTGGGGGTTTCGCTCTAGTCTCAGTGACTTCATTCCCTTGTTCATTTGTTTTTAGAAAATAATGGTAAAATGCGATATGATCCAAGTAACTGCCCACTGCCTATAGCCTGAGGTGTTCCTGCCCATGAGAGTGTCCTGCTGGTCGGCAGGCGAACCACCACGGGACGGCTCCAAGCAGTCCCTTTGCTTGCCAGCTCACACTCCTGAGAGGTGCTCCGGGTTGTCGCGGCAGGAAACACATAGGATATGCCGGCCCAGATGACCTCTCCTGCCCTGGGCCACCTTGCTCCTCCCCCAGCCCCGGCCTCCCCCTCTGAACCCTGGGCTCTTTCCCCAGGGAGCGCTGAGGCCTGGGGCCCTAAGCTGCAGGATCCCGGAGGCCATGCACACTCACACGCGCACACTCTGCTGAATGACTCGGATCCAGGTGCTCCGGTCATCCCGGGATGCCGTGTGGACCTCATACATCTCAGGGGGTGTGGCGCTGATCAGAAACATCCCTTTCTCCTGGTTGGCGATGTCTCGCACAATTAGATTCTGCAGTGATACCACCGAGGGCTTGTCCTGTGGGTCAGAAAGGAAAGACTCAGCCTGGGAGCCCTGACCTGGGGCATCTGGGTCTTCAGTCTTTCTGCAGTACCTGAAGGACTGAAGAGCCCACCTGCAATATAAATTTAGAGCCTCAGCCTTGGTGCGGCCAGAGGGCACTTGGGAGCACATGTGACCTCTGACACGTTATTGACACTAAGGTTTATCGGGGCGCCCAGCTGGCTTGGGCGGGGGAGCGTGCGACTCTTGATCTCGGGGTTGTGGGTTCCAATTCCACGTTGGGGGTAGAGATTGCTAAAAAAATAAATGAACTTAGTGGCTCAGTCGGGTAAGTGTCTGCCTTCAGCTCAGGTCATGATCCCAGCATCCTGGGATCGAGCCCCGCATCGGGCTCCCTGCTCAGTGGGGAGTCTGTCCCTCTCCCTCTGCTGCTCCCCTGCTCGTGCTCTCTCTCTCTCTCGAATGAATAAGTCTTTAATAACAATTATAACAATAATAATATATAAATAAACTTTAAAAAACACACACATTAAAAAAAAAAACCTTTAAGGTTCACTTTCCTCATCGACAAACAAGGGATCATAGCGGGCCTTCCTCGGTGTGGAAGTGCCCGCACACAGCGTTAGCTGTTTTTATTCCTCCCAATATTGTAGCAACGGTTACACTCATCGCCACTTGGCTCTGGGGGATTCTTGGGGTCTTTCCGGCTTGGGCAGAAAAGCAAGCAGAGCCCGTGACACTTGTCTGTGCTGAGAAAGGAGGAGGAAGGTCTCACCAGGGCGGGAAAGATGTACTTCTGGTCCTTCTCCTGCAGAAACAGCAGCACGTCTGTCATCAGCAGCATCAGGACGTCTGGTGGGAGAGTGGCCAGCATCAGAGGCCTGCGCAGCGGCCTGCCTCGTTCTCGGGGGCCAGGCCTGACAACTCTGTCCCTGGCCTCTCTTCCCTCTGGCTGCTTCCTCCTCCGTTTGCAGCCGCCCACCTGCCCGTTCCTACAGCTCAGAAATGCCAGGGGGAGAGGTGCCTGTGCCCACATCAAACAGCTTCTTGGCTGGAAAAGACTGGAGGGGGTCACCGGTGCATCCGAGGAAAACCCTCTTCACCCAGCTGAGGCCGTTTCTTAACCGGGGGACCACAGACCCCGAGCATGTCCACTGCTGGGTCTCGGGGGCTCTGCAAACCTCCCAAAGTCGCATAATTTTACGTAGTAATATAACACGCACGTGTATTTTTCTGGGTGAAAGGGTCCAGAATTTTTGTGAGAGTAAGAAGCATTCCCAGAGCAGGATGGGCCGCCCTTTAAATGCCATGCCTCGGGGCGCCTGGGTGGCTCAGTCGTTAAGCGGCTGCCTTCGGCTCAGGTCATGATCCCAGGGTCCTGGGATCGAGCCCCGCGTCGGGCTCCCTGCTCCGCGGGGAGCCTGCTTCTTCCTCTCCCACTGCCCCTGCTTGTGTTCCCTCTCTCACTGTCTCTCTTTCAAAAAATAAATAAAATCTAAAAAAAAAAAAAAGGCCAGGCCTCGCAGCTGACAGAAGGGCTTTCTGGCCACCTGACCTGAAACCCCCTGCCCGCACCTCCCGATGCTCAGGAGGCAGGGGACAGTCAGGCTTCACAGCCATCCCTCCCACAGCTGAATAATCCCACCCCCCTCGACCCTAGAGGCCTCCTTCACTGTCCTTCTCTGCCCCACCTTCCAGCCGCTCTGCTCCTGAGTCCCGCATTTTAACACTGGGGGCACACGGACAAAAGGTCAAGTCCCTAACACGCAGCGGTCGCAGTCAAGAAAAGACATGCTCACCCTTTGCCCTTGGCGATCTTACTAAACTGTGGGCACACAGAGGGGAGGGCTTTTGCTAAATGCTTCAGAAATAAAGCTCTCCAGCCTTACTATTTTTAACCCCCACAGTTTATATTCTTAGCTGCTGCGTGGGAGGGATGGGAAAGAGAGGGATGAAGGCGCCAGCAAAGCACTGCCATCCCCCAGCCCGTGGAAGGGGGATTTCACGACATGGGACGGCGGGCTCCGGCAGCCTCAGGCCTGGGGAGCAGTTTCATTCTGGCCCTCATTCCTCACGCCCAAAGCCGAGGCCTGCTACTCTCCTTCAGGTGGGAGAGACACGGCCAGTGCAATCTGGGGGGAGAGGCCGGGAAAGTGGGCCCCCCGCCCTGGCCCCCTCTGCTCTTTCCTCTCTTCTCCACCCCCGCCTGTCCTTCGCTGGCTCAGTCCCCTGCCCTGGGCCTTCCTGGCTGTCTTCCCGAAGCCCCCTCTGCAGCCCTGCGAGCTGCCCCACTCTAGCCCCCTGGTCCTGGAGTTTCTCTGTCTTCCTCATCAAACTCATAGCTCTCTGGGCACGCAAGGACCCATCCTGACAGGGAAGCCCTGCGTGGCCCATGCAGTGAAATACAGAATTCGGACTTTGCTGCATTTCCCTGCCCCTGGGCCCCGGATGTCCGGCTGCAGAGAGATGCCCCTCCCTCTCCACGTCTGGCGCTGGGCTCCCGCTTGGCCCGCCACGCTGACCGCTGACCTTTGAAGCGGCCAGTCGCTGTCTTCCAGAGCAGGCAACCATCGTGGATGAGCTTGCGCCGCAGAAGCTCCTCTCGGCCGAATGGGCCCTTGCCAGGCACCGGGGCCTGGGCCCGAGGGTCCATACGGTGGTAGATCTCCTGCAGGCGGGCTCCCTTCTCCAGCTCATGCACATCCTGGTCCACGTTGGACAGCAGCTCCTTCACCAGCCCCAGTGCCGTGGTCAGGTCCTGGCGCTCCTCCTCGGTCCCTGTGCCGAGGGCCAGCATGAGGCCCGGCTAGTCCGCTTCCATCCCGCCCCAGTTCCCACGGTGTCCGGATCCCATCGACAGAGGTGGCCCCGGGCTCCACGGCTGACCCCGTCCTTTCCCTGGGTCACCTTTCCTCACCCCAAAGAGCCCTTCCCGCACAGCCGTGCATGGCCGGCTCCCTCACCGTGGGAGTGCTGCAGGATCCGGTTGATGAGCACCGGGTACTTGGTGATGCGCTGGGTCACCAGCAGGATGCACTCTTGTACCCCATGCCGCTTAAGCACAGCCGAGCGGGTCACCTTCTACAAGGGCAGAGATGGGGCTCAGGGCCAGCGTGGGGCCGGGGGTGGGGGGGGGCACGGCAAAGAACACGGCCCTTGGAGCCTAAGCTCTGGTGACGGCCCTAACTTGGCTGTTGACCTCCCGCTGGCTTGGGTGACCACATCTGGAAATGGGGAGCACTGTGCCCCGGGTTTCCTACGAGGACCAACCAGACAAAGGAGTGAACAGGGATTATCGCTCGCTCGGAGGGATTATTGTTGACACGCGCCACAGGGGTCGGTGGGAACCCGGCCTTTCGGTGGCGGCAGCCGCCATGCCCCCCAAGAAAGAGGAGGCGGGGTTTGAGCCACTAGGGGTGACTCTGGGCGTGAGTCCTGCAGGGGTCCGCTCACCCGGATGAACTGCTGAAACCTTTTGTCGCGGGCATACAGCTCCTTATAAAGCTTTAAGGCCTTGGTGTGGCGGCTGCAGAACTCCGAGTAGGTCTTACGCATCTGCTCCGCACTGGGACCTGAGAACTAGCAGTCGGGGCGCGGGGCTGGGTCAGCGTGTCCCTCAAAGCCACACCCTATCCCCAGGACCCCCTCCGGCCTCCTGCCTCACCGGCTCCCGTGCCTCCGCCCCCAGACTCCGATCACGCCTTTGCCCTTGGATCCGGCCTCACCTGGGTGATGAGCAGGTCACCCAAGCGATGGATGACGAAGTTGCGGGTGCTTCCGGGGCACAGGGCCTGGCGTCGGCGCTCTAGCAGCTGGCTGAGGAAGCGCGTGTGGATGTCACTGAGCTCATCCGCACAAGGGAACAGCCCCTGCACCAGCCCCGGCTCGAGCTGCAGCTCTTCCAGCATCCCCGTGCGGAAGAGGCGGGTCATGATCTTCAGCGTCCGCACGTGGCGCAGCTCCGTCTGGATGAGTTCTGTGGGGCGACAGCTCGTTGGACCCGACTGTGGCTTGGCCACACTGGTCGGCCCGGCGGGGACCTCTGGGCTTGTGGGAGGTTCCTAAGGTCCCTTCCAGGGTGACATTCTGCACGGGTATGGTCTTAGATGATTCTTTAATCACGTTTCCTCTTTATGCTCTGCCAACCTCAGGCTGTAAGCTGTTTGGGGCGAGGACCACGCGTCCCCTCACGTCCAGATTTCCCAGAGTCGCCGGCATGGTGCCAGGCGTGGAAGAGGCCAGGAGCGAGGGCAGAGAACTGACTTGAAGGGGTAAAGATGGGGCCTGGGAGACCAAGAGCCCCAAAAGGCGGGGGCCTTATGGCAACTCGTGGGTGGGCTGGAGGCAGGGGTCTGGGGGGAGGCGGGGAGCCCTGGCTGGAGGAAGGTCACAGACGACTGGCCCTGGCTATAGCAGGATCAGCGTGGGCGGGGGTCTTGGCTCACCGTAGATGACGTCCTGCTGCTTCATCACCTCCTTCTTCTGCTGCTGCAGGAAGCTGCCGTCCACGGCCAAGCTCCACGAGTCGGCTGCGAAGTCCCTCTCGTCCGCCTCAAAGTCACTCATCAGCTCGCTGTAGAGCACCTCCGCCCCTGGACGCCAGCAGGGCCCCCGGCTGAGCCCGACTCGGCTCGCCGGGCCCCGCCCCGCCCCCCGCAGGCCTCCCCGGGCCGGCCATCACCTTCGTCCATGAGCGACTCCACGGACAGGGCCCGGTTCCGCACGTTGAGAGAGTCTGTGGACTGCGACAGGATCCGGCGCAGCCCCAGGGGGGACTCGTCACTGAAGTGCCTGGCGGAAGGGAGCCTGTGCCACCCCAGCGCGGGGGCAGAGCCCCACATGGGGAGCCGAGGCTGGGGTCCGAGAGGCAACACCCTGCGCCCTCCTTCCCCGTCGACGGTCCTGAGCTCAGGGACAGGAGGGACGCCCCAGGCCCCCGGCCCTCCCCCGTCTGAGCCCCAGGCCCCTGGCCCCCCCGTCTGAGCCCCTGGCTGTCCCTTCCCCAGGCAGACGCTCACCCGGCGATGTTGGTGGTGGAGACGCTCTTGGCCAGCGACAAGGAGGAGCGGCCGCGGCGGGAACCTAGCAGGGACTGCCGGAAGCTGTCGGAGGGGTAGATGGCAGAGCTGGGCCGCTCCCGGGGGGTGGCTGGAGGGGGGACAGCGAGCAGGCAAACGTCAACGCTGCTGCTCCCCGCGATCCAGGCCTCCCAGGCCCGTGGACTAGAAAGGAGGCCCCCTCTGCGACCCCACCCCCGCTGGGCTGCTAGTCGAGGAAAGTCGAGGAAAGGTGACAGCAGCGCCACCTCACACACTCGTGTGCTTCTTCTAACGCGCTCCTGGCTCATCTCGTCCCCGAAACAAGCCTATGAGCACACTGAAGCTCAGAAAGCTAGGGGACTCGTCCAGGGTGACTCTGCTGGTGGCGGAGGAGGGACTCCGACTCCGCTCATTGTGCGGCACCAAAGCTGTGTGAACGGCACAGGCCAGCAGCGTGCGTGCTCGGACGACCGGCCAACCCTAGCCTCACCGCCGCGAGAATTCTGCCCTGCCCCCCGGCCCAAGAGGCTGGACATCCCTGAGGGCCACCATGCACTTCCAACCGAGGCGGGGGTACTGTGTGGGGAACGACTGTGAGGGGACAGCAGAGCCCGCGGGCTGAGGGGCCTGGGGTCCCGGCAGGGGTCCCATGGGGGGGGCGGGGTCCTGCACGGGGTCTCCTGCGCGCCCCCATGACTCACTCTTACTGCGAAGGGAAACGGACTGCAAGGCGGTGTTGTTCTTCAGCAGGGCAGCTTTCTGCTGCTGTTGGGACGGAGCAAAAGAGAGACACCAGGGACAGTTGTCACCAAGGGTCTCCCCCACGGGCTCGGGCAGGAGCTGGGCAGCTGGCCCCTCGGGGGAAAGCCGGCACAGTGGCCACGGGCATGAGGGTGGCCGAGCCCAGCGCTGGGGGATGTGTCCAGAGCAGCGGGCTGGCCGCACGGGGCGCGAGGCCTGGGGTGCAGGGTGTGGACGGCCCCACGGTGAGGAACACAGGGCGAGGAGTGAACGGGAAGGGCACACTCACTACCCTCTCCCCAGCCCGCTGCCCGCCGCCCTGCTGTCTCACCTTCTGCTTGACCTTGGTACAGTTGGCGAGCGCGTCTTTACAGCGGTTGTGGATAGTCACATTGCAGGCTGGGAGGGTGGGGTAGAGAGGGTGAAGGGGGGACCGGGTGGTACGGGAGGGGACACACCCACATGCAGACACCCGTCTCCCCCTGGCCACGCCGTCTGAGACGCCCCTCTGCCCAGACCTTCCAGCCGCGGCCGGACCCGGCCCTCCCCACGCCGCCTCCTCCCCCTCCCTTCCAGCAGGAAATCAGGCGAGGGGCAGAGGTGGCCATCCTGACTCGCTGGGTGACCTGAGGGGTGGCCCGGAGGGAAGAAGGGGTTCCTGGCTGCCAGAGACGAGCTCAAGGAGCACAGAGGTGGCACAGACGGAAGACGACGCCCACGGGACAGAAGCAGGCACAGAGCAGCTGGGGTGGGGGCCAGGGGCGGGGGGCGGTTCGCACCCCCGAGCACCCAGCACGTGGCCCACAGTTACTTGATCCTAACAACCCTTTGGGGGTAGATTCAAGGATCTTCATTTTACAGATGAGGGGCCCGCCGCCCGGAGAGGTCAGCTAGTGGTGCAGCTGGGACCGAAACCCCGGCATGGCTGCGTCCGGAGGCCAGACCCTTGCTGCTGGGCCACACGTGCGCCCACGAACCGTGGCCAGGCCTAAGCAATTCAAAGGCTGCTGGACGCAGTACTGGAGTGGGGACAGACCCTGCCCCGTCCTCCCCCAGAGCCTGCTGGCCTTCCCCGCGGCTCAGCTCTGACCCCTACCTTCCCCCCGTTCCAGGCCCAGGGCAAACCCACAGCCCCCACACTCTGCCTGCCATGGGGTAGGAGAGGAGGAGTGGCCAGGCCTTGGCAGTGGGGCGGCTGGCTGTCCCTGTCCCCAGCGTGCCTCGCCCCTCCCTCTCCTGCTCCCCCCGCTGTGCGCAACAACAGGAAACCCTGCGACTCGTGCAGACAATACCCAGCAGCAGGCTCACTTCCACAAATACAAGGCGGGCAGGGTGGGGTGGAGGGGAGGACTGGAGGGGGCTGGGGCTGCCCCACTCCCCTAGAGCTCCCTTCTTCTACCCCCAGCGCTTTCCACCTGCTCTCAAAATAGCGCTCGGCTCGCCGCCTGCCTCCCCGGTTCCCCTGGCAACAAGCTTCCTGCTGGGGAGCTCTGTCAGGTCTCGGGGGATCCAGCCTGGGGTTCCCTCCTCATCGTCCTAACTCCGAGATGGGTCATGAGAAAGCAGGGAGACCTCCCTGGCTCTCCAGCTGCGCAGGGACCGAGAGCCGGAGCACCAGTCGCAGACCTCAGGGGGCCGCAGCTCGGCCACAGACCGGGGGGCAGGGGCCTTCTGTGCAGGCAGGCTGGCATCCTAGGGAAGGAAGACTGCCCTGCTCGGACTCCTAAATACGGGGCTGCCCTCCGAGGTGGGCGAAGGTCAGGAGCTCCGACCGCTATCCCCCAACGCACGCATTCCTGCTGCTTTCCCTCTTTCCCACGGTCTAACCGTCACACTGGAAATCTGAGAGGGAGGCTCCTAATCCCATCCTCTACTTCAAACTGCAGAGGCAAGCATCTCAGGCTCCACGCAGTGAAGAGAAAGGGAGGGGCCGGGGACCCTCGAGTCCTGACCTTCCAGTTCTGCCCAGGAAGAAAGGCAGAACCAGGTGCAAGGCCGCGGCTGGCCACCACCCCCTCCACCAGCAGGACATTCCTGATCCTTCTCCAAGCAGTTTCCCTATAACCCTCAGCAGCTGCTCCGGAGCCAGGGGACACCCAGCGGACAGCAGCTGCAAGGGGCGCCACCCCAGCCCCCGCCCCTGACTCCCCTACAGCCCTGCTGTGCCCCACGGAGGGAGGGAAGGGAGCGAAAGCTTCAAGCATCTGGCCCGGGGCCCCGCTGGGGCTCCCAGAGAGTGACCCTACGGATCCAGGGCAGAAAGGACAGATGGCAAGGTTAGGGTCAGTGGGCACCGAGGCAGAGCGACATTCAGGATCCACACAACCTACTTGGGCAGATGAGGGCCTCCTTGGCTGTGATGCTCTTGTTACAGGCATAGCACATGGTCATGCCCGAGACGGAGATGGTGGTGAAGAGGTGCCCGTTGGTATAGCGGGCATCCTTGGCTTCCTTCATCTTCTCCTTTTCCCGGGTCTGCGGAAGGGGTGGGAGAGACAGGAAGTGAGGCTGAAGGTGTCAGGTGCCCGGGGTGTCCAGAGACAGGCAGAGGGCAGAGGCCAGGGGGCGATGCCGGAAAGAGACCCCTTCCCAAAGAAGGGCCTGCTGCAGGGTGTCGGAGGCAGCTGTCCAAGGGGGCCCAGGCCGGCCCCTGACCTACCTGGCCCCGGCGGCTAGGCTGCCTCCTGTGGGCACTCATCTCCCCGGCTCGAGCCTGGCGTCCTCCCCGCACCTCCCAGCCCTGCTCTGCTCGCCCCCAGCCTGCTGTACGCTCTCCTCGGAGCTGGGGGAAGATGCGCAGAGAGGAGGGGGAGCGGGCGAGGCAGAGGGTGCCAGCTCACCAGCGCTTTCAGATCTAGGGGAGTTAGCTGCTCTTATAACCATGACAACGGGTGTTGGAGCCGGGCGCCGCAGTCACAGTGGGGAGGCCAGAGAGCCCCTCAGTAGACTGGCTGGAGGCCGGAATGCCTCGTTGCCACCCCCCACCCCAGGGGTCAGGATCCCAAACTGCCAGGGCCCCTATGGGAGGCTGGACCTGGCTTTGGTCTCTTGGAGGAAGGAAACCCAGCCCACGGGTCTCCTTCCTTCCGGCAGGAAGTCTGACTTGTATTCCTTATGCTACCCTCAGAAACCCGGGCGAGCTCCCACTCCTCCCGCTCACCCGGCTCCCATCCCGAGTCCTTTCTGGCCTCTACCCTCTGTCCTCCGGCTGCAACACCCTTCTCTTTGGGCTCCGGCCTCCAGCAAGAGGGGGCACAGAGTACCCCAGAACCTCAGAGGCTGGGGGCCCCCATCCCTGCCGCCCCGGCAGCTAGCTGCGGGTCAAGTCATTTCCCCCCCTCGTCTCTGTCCCCCAAGAGCCTGAGATGCCCTCCTTCCCACCTACTCCAGGACCTTCCTCGGCGGTCACCTCAGACCCCTGACGTTCCCCCCCCCACACCGAGAGGGTAGCCAACAGGACAGGCAAGCACACCCCCACCCCCCGGACTTCCGAGCTTCCCAGGAACAGAGCCGGGTCCAGATTGCTGATGCTGAGGGCAGGCGCCCCAGCGTGGGGAACCCTGGCTGGGGCGCTGGGGAGAGCCCTCGGCCTGGGCCTGACTTGGCTCGCGCGCACGAGCAGCTGAGAGGCTGGTGGGGGAAACCACACTGCGCTGGGGCCAGGAGGGCACTCTGTGCTCCGGGCAGAAAAGGGAAGTATGTAGGAGCTGAGTCAACAGCGTGGGGGCCAGAGGGTGCTGGGCCACAGTGCCCTGAGGTCCCCGGGCGGAGTTGGGGAGGGGGGCTCCTCTCTCCCCTGGCTCCAGGCAGAAGCGCAGAAGCTCCAGCTTTGTCTGCTGATAAGCAAAGCCTGGAGGTCTTAGGGTCTTTCCCCACTTCCCTCGCCGACTTCTCCCCTCTCCTCCTCCTCTTCCTATTTCCTAGTCTCCTCCCCTCCCCTCCTCTCTGCCTTCCCCTTTACACCTCCTCCCCCAGTGGCTTCTCTGACTGCCCACGGCCTCTCCCTCCTGACCTCCCCGCTACAGTCCACCCCATCCCCCACCCCCAGGCCTGGTTAGGGAAGCCCAGCCTTCCAGCCCCAGCCTCCAGTGTTCCCGGCCTCCTTCCTTCTACTCTGGTACCTACCTATCTGGCCGCTAGAAGATTCTCCCTTTGGTCTAACTTCCATCTGTCTTGCTCCAAATTATAGCTCCTTAGATCAAATCCCCTTCTGAATGACGGGGGACCTCAATGACCAGGTCCCAAGGTCTCTCCTCACTGCCACACCCCCTCTCTCCTGCCCTGCACTGCCAGCCCTCTCTAGGACGCAGATAACTCGGAGCACTCACTATGCTTGCACTGAAAGCATCGGACCAGCCAACATGGAGAAGAACACGTCTGGGTCAGGGTGAGCTCCAGAAGGGGAGGTGCTGGAGATCGGCCCTAGCTGCTCCAAGTCCCCACTCCCTCCACCCTCAGGTCTCTGCCCTCCAGGCCCTTGGCCTCCTGCAGACTCACCTGGGAAAGAGGTGGGAGGAGGAGGGAGGGCGGGGGCAGCCAGAGCACAGCCTGTCTCGGGCCCTTCTCTCCCTGGCATCAGTGGCCCACAGGAGACACCGAGGCTCTGGGCCCAGTCTCCCCTGCTCCCCACACTCAGCCTCTCGCTGAGGGACCCCCGGCAGCCGCAGCAGCAGCACGCCCCACCTTGGCCACTGCCCGGCAGCCACGGCCCTGGCACTGCCTAGCACTATTGTCCCCGCGCAGTCTGTGCCGGCCCCAGCGCCCGGCCGGGAGGATGGACGGACGCAGGGCCGGCCACTGGGGTCGGGGGGGCTGTTCCCGAGATGTAGTGAACGGGCTCTGCTTGGTTCTATCCTACTGTCTTCCAGGCATTCTTAAGATGGTCCCGCTGGTCTCCTATGTACCTGCCCACCTGCAGGACAGCACTTCGCCTCCATGCCCCAACCCCCGCAGCGAGACATGGGCCTGATGCCCAATCCACACGGGCCACCCCCACCGCTCCGAAGCCCTTCCTGCCGGTTCGGTCCCGTCCTGCCCAGCCAGCGTCCAGCCACTCCTGCTCGCAGGGCCTCACGGAAGCGTCTCCGGCTGCACCAGGAAGCGGTGAAGAGGGCATTCAAAAGCACCTGGCTCAACAGCCTATACAACAGGCAGTCAGCGTGCGCTTGGAAGGGAAGGCAGGATGGGTGGGAGGACGGACAAGCGACACGGGGTCCCAGCAGCACCCTCGCCCTGCGCCACTAAAACCCCGTCTCCCCGTCTCACTTCTCCTCTGCGTTCTATGAGCTTAGGCCCTGGAGGGTTTCCTCCCGAGGCCAGAAGAGGCCAGCCCAAGCCTTCCCTCCATTGTCTTTCTAGATCTTGGTCACTCTGGGGGAAGAAATTCAGGTGAAGGGCAGAGGGCACTGTAGCTGGCGGCTCAGAAGCTCCGGGGCAGAGACAGTCTGCCCCCTAATAGGCACCTTGCCTCCCATGTGAGAAACATGAAGAAGGTAATCCCAAAGCCTGGCTCCCTGGGCTCCCCGGCGGGCAGCAGGGATGGCAGAGCCCGCCCCCAGGAGGGCCAGCGCCAGTCCCCGCAAGGCCCAAGCGCTCAGCAGTACCTGCTCCTCCGTCAGGGACGTCCACACCAAGACCTTGGGGGGAGTCACGAGGTGCTCGGAATCACCTCTACTCCCGCTGAAACTTGCAGCAGCCCCTTCCCCAAGATGCTGAGGCCTCTGTCTGGTGACCAGAGGGCCCCCGAGGTCCCATTGGGGTTGCACTGGGATTCAAGTCACCTGCGGCTCAGCCCCTGACCAGCAGGGGTGCAGTCATAGGCTGCAAAGGGCCCTGAGTCCTGGGGATGAGCTTTGGGCTGGGAACTGGGCGGGGGGGGGGGGGGGGGGGGGGGGGGGCGCGGGGACAGTGGGTCCCTGGCCACAGGACTGAGAAGAGGGCTTGGGATGGCCTCAGCCAGGCTCTGCTCCTGCATCAGCTTCCAGGGACAAGATGAAGGCAGGAGGCCAAGGAGAAGGTGGCCAAACGGAAACGCTAGCGCCAAAGCCAGAAACATAACACAAAAAGCCACCACTGAACACACAAAGGCACTTAATAAATACTCGCTTGATGAATGAGGATGAGCCCCAGACAATGGGGGTGGGCGCACTGGCAGGCAGAAGAGGGGCACTAAGGGCCATGGGGAATAAAATCAGGCCAGGCGCCCTGAGACCCAGGCATCCTGGCCCCCAGCCTGCCCCCTGCCTGGTCACACCTGTCGGGTCAGGAGAGAGACAGCAGAGGGGAGGGGGGGAGGGCGAACAGACGGGCATTTGTGCCGGCGAACAATAGCTACCAGGACTCCCTGCCCTCCTGGCACAGGGCAGGCCGGCTGGCTTGGGAGGGGGCAGCTGCTGCTGGCACCCCTCCCCCAGGAGACACAAACAAACCCAGAAGGGTCCAGCCAGCTCCTCTCGTCCATTTCTCAACGAGGCGCCCTGACCAATCTGCTTGCTCAGGCTCCTAGTCCGCCCTCAAACCAGACACGGAAGCTAAACATGGAACTACTTCCAGAAAGCACGAGCCCCTAATCTGGTGACCACCGCTCAGGACAGTGACCCGGAGCATCTGGGGACAGACAGACACACACACACGTACCCGTAACAGGTCCCACGCGTGCCTGGGAGTCACACATTCACACCTGTCCCCTCCCGGATCCAAGGTCGGTTCCAGGCCCCTCTCAATCCTCTGCTGAGCCCAGTCGGCCCTTCCCCAGACATAAGCAACCCCCTGCAGCACTCAGTGACTTGCCCCCCTCTGCTCCGTCCCAAACCTCCATGGCCCCCAGCATCTCTTCCTGTGCCCCTACAAGCTTCAACCTCCTAGGGACCCCCAGCTCCTGCAAAACTTCCTGGCAAACTGCTAGGCCGGCCAACCCCTCCCCGCTCGCCCACCCCTCCTCTCTGGCTCCGCTCCTCTCCCAGTCTGTCCTGCACACAAAGCCAGCCACCTCTCCTTACTCAGAACAAAGAAATCGCCTCTCCCTCTCTCCCACTCCACCTGCCCCACACACTCCAGGGCCGGGGTCCTGGAGACTCCACGGGGACCCCAGCCTCCGGAGCCATCCTGGAGGCGCCCGCTAACCCCTCTCCTAGGCAGGAAAGGACCCTTTGTTCTGAGAGATGTGAAGGTTAGGATGTGGGGGAGGAGGGGGAAGAGCCGGGGCCCAGAGGTAAAGGGGCCTGTGGGGTTTGGGCCTGGGAAGGTAGGAAGCAGAGCAGAGAGAATGAGGAGTGGAGAGGAAGGGGTGACAAGACAAGAAGCGTGGGGAGGGGGCCACACAGCCTTGGTGAGGATGGGGAGAAGAGCTATGCTCCCCCCAGATTTCTCCTTCTCTAAGGAGGCTCCCAGGTGTCCGGCAAGGAATGTGCCAGGGGCGTGGGCTCAGGGCTTGCTCTGACCCATCCTTCCAAATAGGTAGCAGGGGAGACCATCTTCCTCAAATAATCTCATTTCCAGCAGGGCCCCCTCTACTTCCCACCACAGTATAAAAAGAAAGGAGACAGCTGGTGTGCTGGGGGAGGGGGGTGGGGGGATCCAGGGTTTGTTGGCCAAGCACCAACTCCCCCCTTCTGTAACCACAGCTTTCCGGAGGCGGCCCTCCCCTTCCGACCAACCCAAACTGACAACCACCCTCCTCCAGCGGCGCTTTGCCCTCAGATCCACCCACTCAGCCCCCCCAACCCTCCACTCCCCAAACCAAGGCTAGCCGGACAGAAAGAGCCAAGCTTCCGGAACCCCAGGCCCCCCACCACTAAAAAGACCAAGGCATGAGGACCCAGGTATCTGGCACCCCAGCTCCTCCCAATGAAAAAAGACCCCAGTATCTACCCTCCCAGAGCCCCTCTCTACACCCCTCTCCAGGTCTGCCCCCTACGGCTCCCTCTTGGCTTTCCTTTTTAGGGTGGAACCAAATTTCCGCGGTTTCAAAAAATCTCTCTGCAACCCCCCACCCCCCCCCCACCCCTGGCTCTACTCCAGGGTCTCAGCTCAAACGGTTGAAAAATAAACAGACTTTCAGGGCTGGGGCCTGGCCCGGGCAGGGGTGAGAGGAGCCCAAGCAGAGCGCAGCCCGGCTGCCGCCCACGTCTCCAGCATACTTCCTGTCTTAGGCCCTACTCAAATCCCTAGTTGCTTTCCTGTTGGCACAATCTCATCCCAGCCCCTGAAGGAAAAGTTCCAGGATGGAATCTCTCCCAACTTAGCCTCAAGACAGGTAGCCAGGCTAGGAGCTAGGAGGGAGGTGGGGGGGGGAGAGCTTTCCACCATCTTCCGGGGCTCCCAAAGGGTACTGCCCCCTTTCCGGGAGAACAGTGGTGGTGACAAGCACAGGCAGGGACCCGGGGCAGGACACCGGGGTCAGAAGAAAGCCAG